AGCGCGCCCGCGGCCCCTCGCTCCGCGGCGAGCCGCGCGAGCACGCGCCGCGCCGTCGCGACGTCCGCGCTCTCCGCGAAGCGCGCGGCGATCTCCGCCTCGGAGTCGCGCGCGGCGGCGGACTTTTGGAGCGCGTCGAGGGCCTCGAGGGCCGCGGACAGCGCGTCGAGATCGCGCGCGGCCGCCGCGTCGCGCGCGCGCGCCGTCGCGTCGAGGCCCGCGTCCACAAAACGCGCGCAGTCCTCGACGGCCGCCAGCTCCGGCACCTCGTCGTCAAAGCGGGCGTCGCGGGGCGCGGCAGCGGCCTCGTCGACGACGGCGCGCGCGCCCGCGAGCGCCTCGGCGTCCGGCGCGCGGCAGCATCGCGCGACCGCGCGCTTCGCGCGCGCGCCGAGCGCGCGCCGCGCCTCGAGGAGCGCCGCCAGGTCCCGGGCCGCCGCCGCCGGGCCGTCGTCCAGGCCGAGCTCCGCGGCCTCGACGAGCAGCGCTGCGCGGGGAGGAGGCGCGTGGACGGCCGCCGGCGCGCGCGCTACGGGGGGAGAATTCTACGGGGAGCGACGGCGATGGAGCACCGTCGAGGGCCGCGGCGTCGCGCTTCACCACCGCGCCGTTGAGGGCGGCGAGGCAGTCTTTGCGCCGCTCCTCCTTCTTCGCCTCCGCCTCCTCGGACCGCTTCAGAGCGACGAGCAGCGCCTCGGCCTCGCGGACCGCGGACCCGCCGACGCCCGCGGCCTTGGCTTTGCCGATGGCGTACTGGAGCGTCAGCGGGTTCCGCGACTCGCGGGCCGCGTCCATGGCGTCCGTCGCGTCGCGCCGCGCCTTGAGGTCGTCGAGCCTCGCGCTTAGCTTCGCGACGTCGCCGCCGTCGCCGAGGCCCGCGGCGCGGCACGCGGCGAGCACGGCCTCCAGCGCCGCCGCGTCGCCGCCGTCGTCGGCGAGGGCCTTGGCCAGGGCGTCTTTCGCCGCGCGCCTCGCGACGAGGGCCGCGCGCGCGGCCTGCGCCGCGGCCGCGGGCCGCGCGGCGCCGTCGACGCCCGCGACGGCCGCGGCCTCGAGGGCCGCGTCGATGGCCTCGACGCTGTCGCCCTTGGCCGCCGCGTCGAGGGCCGCCTCGGCGTCGCGGCGCTTCGCGAGGGCCGCCTCCTCCGCGGCGCGCTCCTCCGCGGCCTGGCGCTCCCGCTCCGCGCGCGTCTGCAGCCGGTCGAGCACTTTCTTCGCCTCGTCGAGCGACTCGAGCACGCGCCCGGCGATGTCGCCGCCGAGGGCCTCGTAGCATTCGGTGACCGCCGCCGACACCTCGGCGAGGTCCTCCGTGACGACGGCCTTGCGGAGCATCCCGTCGACGCGCGCCTCGGCCTAAGGGGTCTTTTCGCCCGACGGCAAAAAGTGAACAAACAGGACGCCGGTCGACGCGCGTCCAAACGTGCGGCGACGCGATTGGCAACGGCGAGCTCCGGCGAGTCGCCGACGCCCGGGCCGAGCTTGGCCGCGGCGGCGAGCGCGCCCGTCAGAGCGTCGCGGTCGCGCGCGTCGGCGGCGGCCCGGAGCGCGCCGCGCGCGTCGAGCTCGCGCCGCAGGACCGCCGCGAGGTCCTCCGCGGCCGCGAGCTCCGGCACCTCCGCGTCGAGGCTCGCGTCGCGCGCGCCGCCCGCGGCCGCGAGGACCGCGGCGAGCGCGTCGAGCGCCGCCGCGTCGCGCGCGCGCTCCGCCGCCGCCGCGGCCCGCCGCAGGTCGCCGCCGAGCTGGCGCCGCTCGTCGAGCGTCGCCTTGAGCGCCGCCGCGGCGTCGACGGTGCGCGACGCGAGGCCCAGGTCCGCGGCCTCGGCGAGGAGCCCTACGGACGCGCGGCCGTCGCGGCGGTCGCGCGCGATTTCGGAAAGGGGTGGCGGGGTCTACGGGGGCCGGCGCACAGTCGAGTTTCGTGAGGTCGCGCGCCGCCGTCGCCGCGGCGAGGGCCCGGCCCGCGTCCTCGCGCCGCTCCGCGAGCGCCGCGGCCGCCTAGGTCCGCGGTCGGTCGGTTTCCCCGTTCGGTTTCTCGGGACGCCCGGCGCGCACGGCGGCCTCGCGCTTGAGCAGCGCCGCCAGGCTCCGCGCCTCGCCGAGGGCGTCGTCGCCGAGGCCGCAGCGCGCGGCCGTCGCGAGCGCGGCGTCGAGCGCGGCGGCGTCGCGCGCGGCGACCGCGCCGTCGACGGCGGCCCGGGCGTCGCGCGCGGCGACGCCCGCGGCGACGGCGGCCATGGCCGGCGCGAGCTCGCGGCGGTCCAGGTCCGCGTCGACGCCCGCGGCCAGCGCGGCCTCGAGCGTCGGGAGGTCGTCGCCGGATAGCGCGCGGTCCAACGCGCGCCGCGCGGTCCGCCGCGCGACCGCGGCCCCGCGCGCGGCCCGGCCGCGGTCGAGCGCCGCGCCGTCGACGAGCGCCGCCGCCGCGTCGGCCAGCGCCGCGTCGAGGGCGTCGACGTCGTCCCGGGCCGCGGCGTCGTCGAGCGCCGCGGCCGCGGCCTCGCGCCGCCGCTCCGCGTCGGCCTTGGCGCGCGCTTCCTCGGCCGCGACGCGCTCCGCCTCGTCGGCCGCGCGCACGTCCGCCGCGACGGCCTTGGCCGCGTCTAAGGCCGCGCCCAGCCCGTCCGAGAAGTGCTCGCCGCCGAGGTGCCGGAAACACTCGCGGACGGCCGCGTCGACGGCGTCCGCGTCGCGCGCGTCCGCGGCGGCCGCGAGCGCGCCCGCGGCGTCGGCCTCGTCGGCGAGGCGGTCCGCGACGCGCCGGGCCACGGCGCACTCCGGCGCGTCGACCACGCGCGGGCCGAGGCTCTTCGCCGCGGCGAGCGCGGCCGTCAGGAGATCCGCGTCGCGGCGGTCCGCGGCCTCGGCGAGGTCGCGCCGCGCCGCAAGCTCGCGGCGCACGACGTGCGCGAGGTCCTCGCAGCGGTCCAGCGACGGCGCGTCGTTCTTCTCGCGGGCCGCGCGCGCGACGTCGCCCGCGACGAGCGCCTCCGCGGCCGCGAGCGCGTCCGCGTCGCGCGCGCGGTCCAGGCGCGCCAGCGCCCGCGCGACGTCGCGCTCCAGCGCGCGGAAGGCGTCGAGCTCGGCGGCGAGCGCCGTCGCCGCGTCGAGGGCCGGGGCGCCCGCGTCGCGCGCCTCGGCGACGGCGGCTGCGCGGTCGCGCCGACGGCTTCGGAGGAAAACTCGAGGGACGACGCCTCTCTGCTACGGGGGGTTTCGGGAGAGAACGTGACGGGACGCGGGGGGAACGCGCCGTTGAGCGCGTCGAGGTCGCGCGCCGCCGTCGCCTTCCCGAGGCCCTCGACCGCGGCCGCGAGCCGGTCCACCTTCTTCCCGTAGGCCTCGGCCTTGGCGACGAGCGCCGCGTCGCAGCGGCCGCAGGCGACGGCCGCGGCGAGGGCGCTCTTGAACGCGTCGCCGTCCGCGTCGACGACGGCGACGTCGAGCGCGGCGCGGAGGTCGCGCTCCGCGGCCACGGTCCTCTCGCAGGCCGCGAGCGCCGCGCGGACGTCGCCGAGCTCGGGCCCGTCGAAGCCCGCCGCGAGGCACGCCCGCTCCGCCGCGCGCAGCTCGTCGGCCGCGAGCGCCGCGTCGCCGTGTTCCACGGCGCCCAACGCGTCCGCGCAGCGCGCGGCGGCCGCGAGCTTCTGGAGCACGTAGTCGAGCTTCGACTTCGCGGCCGTCGCGTTCGCCGACGGTCGTGCGCGGCGAGGCTCGACGTCGCCGCGGCGAGCGTTCGCGTCCGGGTCCGCGAGGCGCTGGCGCTTCGCCTCCGCGTCGCGCTCCTCGGCGGCGAGGCGCTCGAGCGTCGCGCGCTCGCCCTCCCACTTGGCCAGCGTCTTCGCCGCCGCGGAGACGCGCGGCGGCGGGTCCCCGTGGTACACGTCCTCGGCGCCCTCGAGCGCCGCCGCGAGCGCGGCGATGCGGTCGCCGAGGTCGCCGTCGCCGGCCACGGCGGCCTCGACGTCGCGGACGCACGCTAATTCTTCGTCCAGGCGCGCCAGGATCTTCGACGCCGCCTCGAGCGCGTCCGCCGCCGCCGCGCTCTCGCAGGCCGCGGCGCCGTCGAGCGCCGCCGCGAGGCCGTCGCGCCGCGTCTCCAGCGGCTTCGAAAAGGACGACGCCTGCTTCGTCGCGGCGTCGAGCGCCGCGAGCGCCTCGACCTCCCGCTCGACGGCGGCGACAAAGTCCGCGCAGTCCCGGAGGTCGGCCGCGGGCACGCCCGCCGCCGCCGCGTCGCGCAGCAACGCCCGCAGCTCCGCGAGGTCCCGCGAGTCGCGCGCGCGGTCGAGCGCGCCGGGCGCGCGATTGACGATCTCGAGCTGCTTCTGCAGGCTCGCGAGCAGCGCCGCGGCGCCGGCGACGTCGGCCGCGGGCGCGTCGAGCTCCTGGGCGCGCTTGAGCAGGGCGCCGAGCTCCTTGGCGCTCGCGCCGCCCGCGGCCGCGAGCGCCCGGAGCTGCGAGACGACGTCCGCGCGCTCCTCGACCTTGGCCGCGGCCGCGGCCGCGGCGTCGACCTCGGGGCCGGCCATGCCCATGGCCCGGGCATCGTCGAGGGCCGCTTCGAGCGCCGCCGCGTCCTCGGCGCGGGCCGCGGCCACGAGGGCGGCCCGCACCTCGGGCTCGTGCTTCAGGCGGTGGCACAGCGCCTCCGCGGCCTCCAACACGGACGCGAGGCTCGCGTTGCCCGCGGCCTTGAGCTTGGCGACGGACGCGTCGAGCGCCGCGACGTCCCTCCGGTCCATGGCGGAGCGGCACTCGCCGATGATGGCCTGGAGGGCCTTCGATTCTTCCTTGAAGGCCAGGCCCCGCGCGTAGACCGCGAGGTGCTTGCCGCCGTGCGGGAGGAGGTACCAGTCGCGGAGCGCGTCCTCGCAGGCCTCGACGTCGCAGGACGCGACGGCCGCGGCCAGCTTCCGCGTGAGCCGGAGCCACGTGCAGAGCCGGCAGCGCGCGAGGTAGCGCCGGCCGCAGGCCTGCGCGTGGAGCATGATCTTCTCCAGCGCGCGCTCCCGCGCGGCCTCGAGCTTGTCGCGCGCCGCGGCCCGGAGGAAGACCTTGGTCTTGCCCAGGGCCCACTCGCCGCTCACCAAGATCCGCTGCTTCTCGAGGCCCGCCACGAGGCTCGGGCAGCCCTTGGCGGCGACGTCGATGTAGTGGTAGCGCCGCTCGAAGTCCGCGAACTTGGACCGGAACGGGAAGCCGGCTCGACGGATCTTGCAGACCTCGAGCACGCCCGCGCAGCGCATCTGCGACTGGACCATGGGCGCCGTGAAGACGCGGGGCCGCTTGACGCTGTTGGGCTTGATGCAGCGCACGAAGTGGGGCTCGCACGCGTTGAGCGCGTCGACCAGATCGCGGAGCTGCCCTCGAAAGTTCGCGCCGAGCGTCTTCACCTTCTTCGACTTCTTGCCGCTGCCCAGTTCCTTGGCGTCGGCGGCGAAGAGGGACGCGACGACGGCGTCGGTGCTCGCGCCGCCGCAGAGCACGAGGCCGTCGAGGAGCCGGTCGCGGTTCTTCTCGAGGAAGCCCGTCGTGCCGTATTTCACGCGCGCCGCGTAGTGGATCACGGCGAAGGACGTGCGCGCCTGCGCCTCCTTGGGCTTGCAGCGCTCGAAGTTCGCGTGCTTCTCGTGGGCCTTGAAGAGCTTGCTCAGGTAGCCGCCGTCGCTGCCGCGCGGCACGACGCACTCCTCGTCGAGCATGGCGAAGACGCCGCTCCGCTTGTGCTCCAGCAGCTCGAGGGTCGGCCCGTTGTTCTTGAATTCGACCATGGCCAGGTCGACGCCCTCGCGCGTGTACTCCGCGGCCTCCTGGGAGAAGATGTGGTCGTTGAAGTGGAACTGGAGCTTCTCGTTGCAGTAGTTGATGCAGAGCTGCTCGAAGGAGTTGACCTCGAAGAACTCGAAGCCGAAGATGTCTAACACGCCGACGGCGAGGCCGCCGGACGCGCCGCCGCCGATGCCGCTCAGGGCCGCGTTGATCTTGAGGATGAGGAAGTCGAAGAGGCGGCTGAACGCGGCCTTGGCGAAAGCGTCGCGCGCGTCGTCGGCCTGGGCCGCGGACAGCTCCGTGCGGATGATGGACCGCGTGCCGATGTTCTTCGAGATGAGGCCCTCCCGCAACGCCGCCGCGTCGAGGCCCAGCACCGCGGACCCCGTCTCGAGCGGCGCCGCGTCCGCGACGGTCGCCTCGTCCTTGGGCCCCGCGGCGAAGGCCACGTTGCCGACGTGGAGCAGGCCCGCGACGAGCTTCCAGACGCTCAGGCCCTCGTCGTCGGAGAAGTTGAGCGCCCGGAGCGCCGTCGCGACGTCGTCGTAGTCCCGCTTGTCGTCGATGCCGGGCACCTCGTGCGCGGACGACATGTTCACGTAGCGCCAGTCGTCGCAGACGGCGGCCCCGAGCCGCAGGTCGGCGCAGAGCGCCGCGTCGTCGTGGCAGTGGGCCAGGAGCTGGTAGAACGCGTGGTAGCCGCGCTCGCCGTCGGCCTGCCACGACACGCGCGACTTCTCGAGGAGGTAGTTCGTGATCGCCGCGGCGGTGATGCGGCCGCCGGGCGTGAAGCTGAGCGTCGTCCACTTGCCGAAGCGGCTCGAGTTGTTGTTCCGCAGCGTCTTCGCGTTGCCGAAGGCCTCCGTGACGGGGTTCGTCTGCAGGATCTGCTGCTCGACGGAGAGCTCGCCCGCGCCGACGACGGACGGCCGCTTCCCCGCGGCGCCGGACGCGCGGCCCGAGGCCTCGGCGAGGAACTGGAGCATGAGCTTCATGGACTCCGTCTTGCCCGCGCCGGACTCGCCGGAGATGCAGATCGCCTGCGACCTGCGGTCGCGGACGAGCGCCGTGTGGGCCATGGACGCGATGGAATAGCAGTGGGGCGGCAGGCCCTTGCCGCCGTCGGACCGCACGTAGCGCGCGAGATTCTCCGGCGTGTAGCAGTTCGGCAGCACCTGGAACGGGTTCACGGCGACGAGGATGGACCCGACCCACGTGTAGATGCCGTCCTTGCCGTACCGCTTCCGCAGGTTGTGGAGCAGCGGGCCCTCGCTGAGGTCGTTGAACTGCGTCATGTCCTCGAGCTCCCCGAGGGACTGGTCGTCCATGAGGTGGCAGAAGCTGCTCGCCTTGGCGTCGATGCTCACCGCGGACCCGTCCTCGGCCTCGGCCTGGCCCGCCTCGCCGGCCTTGAAGGCCGCGACGGCGCGCACGGGGATCCAGGAATCCTCGGTGCTGTCGAGCCAGAGCCAGTCGCCCGCCGCGAAGGACGCCATCGTCGGCAAGGCGGGATCCCCGCTCGCGCTCACGTCGGCGGCGGGGCGCAACAAGGCAGCCCCAGATCCGTCCCGACCACTGATGAGAGCTGCAAGGAGGCGATGATGAGGTATTGCTTGTCCTGGGGCAGCCTCCTCGAATCCTTCTGTGTTCGGCGCTTGTTCTCGCACGCAACCACTGCCGTCGTAGCCATGCAGCCCCCGCAAACTCCGCCAAATGTTTTTCGATTGCCCCAGCACCCTCATCGAAGCCGCCTTCATCAAGCTCCGCCAAAGCTCCCCATGCCCGCACCGAGGGACATCGAGACCGGCCTCGCGCCAGCCATGCCGCCCCCACCAAAGCTCGCGCCAGCCATGCGCCTCGACCCGGTGCTGCGCGAGCTCCTGCTGGGCACGGCCTGCCCGAGATCGCCGCTCCAGCTCCTCCGAGGCCAGCGCGACGTGCTGCGCGCCATCTGGCTCCGCGTCGTCGAGGAGTACTGGGACGCGTGCCTCGAGGCGCGCGACGGCGACCCGCGGCTCGCGCTCGACGCCGTCTACGTCGTGCCGTCCCTCCCGGAGCCGCTCGAGGTCCCGTCGTGGCTCGTCGTCGCGCCGGCGAGCCACGCGCGCCGCGTCGAGCCCGCGGTCGTCTTCCCGGCGTTCACCGGCATCAACGTGAACATGATGCCCTTCGTCGTCCACGAGCGGCGCGCGCAGCTCCCCGCCGAGCTCCAGACCTACATGCACGTCATCGACGCGTGCGTCCGGACGATGTCGCGACCGCCCGAGAACACGCCGATCGGCTACCTCACGGTCCACGAGAGCGACGTCGAGGACGGCGCGTCGCAGCGGCGGCCGGGCTTGCACGTCGAGTCGCCCGGGTTGGCGCGCGGCGCGGCGGCCGCGGCCCTCGCGCCGGGCGCGCACCACCACTGGGGGCGCGGCATCGTCATGAAGGACGGGTCCTTGTCGGCGTCCTGCGGCCGATTTTCGAGAGATTTTGACCGGGAAAACGATTGTCACCGACGTGCTTGTAGGTCCTTATCGGGGGGCATCTTCATGGCGTCGTCGGTCGACGACACCTGCCGGCTCTGGAACTGCCGCGTCCGCGACGACCAAGGCGACATCGTCGGACCCGGCGGCGATTGCGAGCGCCTGCGGCCGCTCCTCAAGCACGTCGAGACCGACACGCTCCGGGCCAACGAGCTCGCGTGGATGAGCGACATGACGCCCCACGAGTCCTTACCCCTGAAAGGCGGCGGGCGGCGGCAGTACTTCCGCCTCGTCGTCGGGGAGGTGAGCGCGTGGTACGCCGCCCACTCGACCCCGAACCCGAACTTCGACCTCGCGTCCGCGCCGGGCGGTCCCGCCGTCGTCGCGGGCGACAAGTTCGCGAACGCGGGCGCCTACGCGTGGACGCGGGGCGCCGCGGCGGCGGGCGCGTACGACCCCGCGGACGACCGCGCGCGGACGTCGTTCCGCAAGGCCATGGCGCGCGCGGGCCTCGAACACCGCCTCGACTTCTTCGCGGCGTGCGGCGTGCGGCGCTTCGCGGACCTCCGCGGCAAGGGCGCCGAGCTCCGGCGCGGCCTGGACCACTGGGACCAGACGCGGCTCCGCTACGCCCTGAAGAAGCCGGGCGTCCTCTGGTACGAGACGGCGCCGGACTCCGGGGAAGAGTAAAGTGAAGAGCAAGGCTCCCATTTGCTCCCATACGAGTCCGACAGGCTCATACGTTGAAGGGAAACATGGTGGTGCTTGCGGGAAGGCTGAAGGACACGACCCATGGGCTGCCACTGCTTACTTAACAAATGCGCGCGTGCGCCTTCGCGCTGCTCTACTCCGCAGCATCGCTGCCGCCCGAGAAGCAGTCGCCGAGCCTCGACGCCGCGGCGAACGACCGCCTATGGCAGCGGAACCAGACGGCGCCGCGGACGCTGCCCTGGCCGTTCGCGTGGCTGCACGCGCCCAAAACCGGTAGCCACTTCGGCGCGGCCGTCGCGGACCTGCTCTGCGACGGCCTCCACGGCTTCGTCCGTTACAAGGGGACCGAGCTCGTCGAGGGCACCGCGAAGGAATGGCGCGCGGGTCGGACGAGGTGCGCGGCCGACGCGTACTTTGGCCGCGCGACGACCGTCGAGCTCCTGCCGCACTGCGTCCGAGGGCACGAGCAGTTGAATAAGTTGCCCCCGTACTGCGTCGACGGCGCGTCGTCGTTCGCCGACGGCCACTTCCCGTCGACGCTCCGCGGCGGCCGGTTCCGCGTGCCGACGCTCCTCGTCGCCCGGCGCCCCGCGGACCGCCTGCGGAGCATGTACCACCAGGGTCTCGACGGCATGTGCGAGGGCGCCATCGACGCGCATCGCCAGGTCCGCCACGCCTGCCGCTTCAAAAAACTGAAGCAGAAGAATCCCGGGACCTGCGCCGGGTACCGCGCGTGGACCGAGCTCGAGGGCGTCCTCGGCTGCCAGGCGAAGCTGGTCCTCGGCCTTCCGTGTAGCGCGCTACGAAACGTGTCCGAGAGCGAGATTCGCGAGGCCGAAGCGCTCGTCCTCGCCGACGGCCACGCGACGAACCTCCTCTTCGTCGGCGACACCGGACGCTGGGATCAGACCGTCTGCCTCTTCTACGCGCTCTTCTCCCCGAGCGGACGGTGCCCGCCGGAGGAGGCGCTCCTGCCGGCGGCGAAAGCCGCGGCGCGGTCCGACGACGGCTGCGCGGGCGGCCGGGACGACGCCGCCGGCGGCCGCTTCTTCGACGCCGCGACGCGGCGCTTCGACCGCGACTGGGCCCGGGCCGCGCACCTCGTCCGCCACTGCCCCGCGTGCGCGGGCTTCCCCGACGCGTAAAGCCGCACGTTACGCGAAGCGCGCCTGGGTCCGGTACAGCTCGCGGACGACGTCGGGGTTCGACGCGTCGTAGGGCATGGAGTGGTGGAGCGTCTGCGTGTTGTCCCAGACGAGGACGTCGCCCGCGTCCCAGGCGTGGAAGTACGTGAAGCTCGGCGACGTCGCGTGCTTCAGGACCATGTTCAGCAGGTCCCGGCCCGCGTCGTCGGTCTCGAGCCCCGCGACCTTCATGTGGGGGCTGCCGACGTAGAGCGTGGCGCCGCCGTCGAGCGCGTGCGGCTGGACGACGGCGTGCTCCGCGTCGGGGAACTTGTCGAGGTCCGCCGGGTCGCCCTTCGCAAAGTCCGCGATGTCGCGGACGGACGCGCGGATCGACGCGCGCGCCGCGCGGTCCCGCAGCGGGCCCGACAGCGTCGCGAGTGCCGCGCGCAGGTCCGCGAAGCCCGTCTCGCCGCCCGCCGGCGGCGCGCGGCGCGCGTGGAGGATGGAGAGCACGCGGTGCTTCGGCGGGAGCCAGAACTGGCCGTCCTGGTGCCAGTAGGCGCCGAACTTCGTACTCGGGCCCTTCCAGGTGCCGTTCGAAAAGTAGTTCGTCACGCGCTGGATCTCCGGGTGCAGCGGCTCCGGGTCCTTGCCCTCGAAGCTCGGCGGCAGCACGACGACCTCGCCGAGCGCCGCCGTGAGCGCGACCTGTTCCGCGCGCGACAGGTCGAGGCCCTTGAGCACGACGACGCCGTGCGCGCGCACGGCGTCGAGGAGCCGCGCGGCGGACGCCGCGTCGAGCGGCAGGTCCACGTCGACGACCGCGCCGAGCCGCTCCGCGCCGCCGCAGAGCGCGCACTGGCCCCAGCCGCGCCGATGCAGCGCGTAGCGTTCCTGTGCGGGCGCGGCGCCGAACCACGGCGCGGCGGCGTTCGCGCACGTCTCGTCGGTGGCTGTTGTTGTTGTTGCGAGGGCCAGCAAGGCCAGCATCATCGTTCCACGACGAAGCGCAGCACGTGATTCATGAGCTCGTCTGTGGTAAATTTCACAGCAACTACTTCAACTTTCACTTCAAGCTACTCGTCTGCTTCTCTTCGCGACGAGGAAGTCGTGCAAAGCAGGAACCGGCCGCGAGTCTTCCTCCAGAAGGGTGGTGTTCGAAAACACCGGGTTGGTTTTGGGGTCGACGTCCGCGCCCGCGCGACTGAGTCGCCGTCGGCCGAGGGCCGGCGGCTTGCGCGCGAGCACGCGCGCGGAGCGCTTAGGACGAGGAGAACTTGGTGACGGCCTTGGTGCCCTCGGAGACGGCGTGCTTCGAGAGCTCGCCGGGGAGCATGAGGCGGACCGCGGTCTGGATCTCGCGGGACGAGAGCGTCGCCTTCTTCGAGAAGCGACAGAGCTTGGACGCCTCGAGGGCGATGCGCTCGAAGATGTCGTTGATGAACCTGCGGCGCGGGCGGAGCTCGGGAGGGGCCGCTCGACGCGGTCGGGACGCGGCGGGCCGCACGAGTTCATGATCGACATGCCCTTCTTGGAGATGCCCGTGTCCGGGTGCACCTGCTTGAGCACGCGGTAGATGTACGTGGAGTACGACTCGACGCGCGTCTTCTTCTTCTTGCCGCCGGCGGCCTTCTTGGGCGCCTTGGCGGATTTCTTGGAGGGAGTCTTGGCCATGGTGATTGCGAGTGTGTTTGGTGATTGCTGAGGACGCCGACCTCGGCCCCGAGTCTTTGTTTTTCCGGCGCGGGAGCGAGCCAGCCTGCGTTTCTGATTGGTCGGACGCCGTAACCCGGCGCGCTTCCGCCCCGGAAGCCCAGTCGGTCTCGGCGTCGAGCGCTCTCCTCAGCACATCCCAAACACACACACACACTCGAATCATGTCTGGCAAAGGAAAGGGCGGCCGCGGCAAGGGCAAGACCGGTGCCGGTGGCAAGGGCACCTCCAAGGCGGCCAAGGCCGGGCTCCAGTTCCCGGTCGCGCGCCTGAACCGCTTCCTCAAGAAGGGCAAGTACGCGACGCGCGTCGGCGTCGGCGCCGGCGTCTACATGGGCGCCGTCCTCGAGTACCTCTGCGCGGAGATCCTCGAGCTCGCGGGCAACGCCGCGCGCGACAACAAGAAGGCGCGCATCATCCCGCGCCACATCCAGCTCGCGGTCCGCAACGACGAGGAGCTCAACAAGCTCCTCGGCACGGTCACGATCGCGTCGGGCGGTGTTCTCCCGAACATCCACGCCGTGCTCCTCCCCAAGAAGAGCAAGTCCAAGGCGTCCGCCTAAGCGACCACGCTCGTCGCGGCCCGGTCGAACGGCTCGCGCTCGATCGTCCGATAAGTCGCGCGCACGGCCGGCGCCGCGGCGCCACTCACACAATCACACACCGGTTTTTTCGAAAACCACCCTTTCTTCTGAAGACACTCGCTGGTTCCTCTCTCCGCTACTGCTCTAATTCCAAGACGCCTATTCCCGCGCGAAACCGAGCGCCGCGCGTCCCTCCGCAGCGCGCCCGCCTCGACCCCGCAGGAGGTCTTCGGCCACTCTGGAGGCCTTCTGGCAGGTGGTATGGGGCGGGTCGCGCGCCCTAAGGCGTGGGCGGCGCGTCAGAGGTCCCCGGCGAGGCGTGAGCGGCGGTG